ACTGAGTAGGATTGCTTTTATTCCTTGGCTAGCCTTGAATGTGGTAATTTTTAAAAAGTGCCTAGAGAGTACAGTGGTACCTCGGGTTACATACGCTTCAGGTTACAGACTCCGCTAACCCAGAAATAGTGCTTCAGGTTAAGAACTTTGCCTCAGGATAAGAACAGAAATCGGGCTCCGGCGGCGCAGCGGCAGCAGGAGGCCCCATTAGCTAAAGTGGTGCTTCAGGTTAAGAACAGTTTCAGGTTAAGAACGGACCTCCGGAACGAATTAAGTACTTAACTCGAGGTACCACTGTACACTGGGATTTTGCACCACAGCATCAGATTCTTGACTTGCGACTTGTTATCCACTATAACCTGCGTATGATGCCCTCCAACATTTTTTGGGCCCAAAGTGGGGTTCTCCTTTTCCAGTCCTGAGCTCTCGCACATGTGCAAGAATGCGAGACCAAGACGCTCATTTTTTGGTCTTGTGAGACCAAGAAACGAGCATCTTTTGGCTGGGTGCTCTGGTGTGACCCTGCCGACTTATGCCAGAGCAGGACATTCCAGGATCCAGTCAGAAGTCAGGATTGGTGTGGCGTTAACATATGAGAGTGCTGGAGGTGAAATAGTTAAACAGGCTACCCAATCAGAACCCAGAGGGTGGAGTCAGAGGGACTATAAAACCAGCTCTGGGAGGGGTGAAGGGGGAGTTTGTTGGGAGTTGGGTGGTTGGTTGGAGTGGGATAGAGTCTGTGGGTAGGTTGAGTTAGTGTAGTGAAATAAGCTGAGTCAGGAACATTTAGGGGCTAGGCAGACAAGTAAATAGCTGAGAGGTGGTTTAGTGAGTGAGAGCAGGTAGCGGAAGTTATAGGTCTGGATAGTCACCCCATGATTGCAACTGACCGATACCGTTTATGAAACCACACGCTTGTTAAACTGCAATAAATAAACAGAAGTTTGTGTTCCAATTTAACCCTGACTGGACTCAGTATTGTACCAGGTAGGGCCTGGGTGGTGGCAGCAAGAAATAAAATGGTGGCACAGGGATCAATAGACGGCGAAACGTCCAGGGACCCTGTGTGATCGCCACAATTGTCTTCTGTGATTCCAGGATGTTCCACTTAACATGGTACCCTTGAAGGGTATGGTATATCCTGCTTGATGGAGGTTCCCATCCAATGCCACTTGCCTTTTTATTTCTTCTATTTTGTTTCGGTTGCTTACAGTTAGCAGAAGTTCATACGTGTTGAATATGTTGCTCAAATCCTCCATTCAATGCTTTTTTTTTTTTTATCAGTTAGCAGCGAGGTTTGCTGAGTAGCTCTGTCCCAAGGGTTGTGACACCTGCAGAACTTCATTTGATCTGTTTTCTAGTTGCATTGTTATCTGCTGTTACTCTTTGGCTGCTGTTTTGTCCACCACACTTTTGCAGAGAGTTTCTTTGCCTCCATTCAAGTGGGAGGGAGGGGGGACACTTAGCAAAGCCTTACTAAAATCAAGCAATCTTATTTTTTTATCACTAACCAGGTTTTGACATTAGGATGTGTAGGTACATAAGGAGAGTCCTGCAAGGATCTTCCCAGAGCCTATGAGTCTAGTGTTGTGTTTCTCAGTGACCAGTCAGAAGCTTCTGGGAAGCCCACAAGCAGTGGTCCTCTCCCAATGTTGGACCCCAACAGCTGGCACATTTCTTCTGGTTATGGAGGTAGAACATAGTCCTCATGGCTAGTAGTCCCCCTTATCCACCATGGCTTTGTCTATTCCTCTTTCAAAACCATGTCAGTTGATGGCAGTGTACCACATCATGTGGCAGTGAGTCCCACAGTTTAACGATGCAAAGAAGCCTTTTGTTTTTGTTCATACTCAAGAACTCTTGCAGTCAGCTTCACTGGATAGCCCTGAGTTCTAGTGGAGAAAAATGACCATCTATATTTTCTTCTTCACACCATGCACAATTCTATAAACCTCTATCATATCCTTTTTTTAATTGCTATTTTTAAAACAAACAAACAAACAAAAAATGCCCCAAAGCATTCTTCTGATAAAGGAGTTGCTGGATACATTTTGGTTGTCACTTTCTGCAGGTAGCTCCTCATTCTTCTGCTCTAGTCTGACCTTGTGTGGAATGCCGTGTCCACTTTGAGAAAGATGCAGACCAACTGGAATGTCCTCAGAAGAGGGCGGTGAAACTGCTCAGAGCTTTGGAAAGCAAGTCCTGTAAGGAAAGGCTGAAGGAACCTGGTTTGGAAGAGAAAAGGCTGATGATGATCTTCAAATACCTGAGGGGTCATCCCATTGAAAAGGGCAAAACTTGTTTCCTGCTGCCCCAGAAAGCAGAATCAGGGATGCATTGAGATGTGGGGAATATTGCATTAGTTTCCCTGATTATAATGCTAACACACCTGTTCTGTTTTCAAATGTTCTTTTCGAATTGCAGTACTTGTCACAACTGTGGCTTCTCGGCCCATACCAGCATGTCAAACTCAATTTCATTCTCACCGACGGCTGTGTTGTGACACAACAATGAATGACATTGGACAACGTCCCTATTCCCCCTCCATTCCCCCATGAAAATGACAGGAAAGAACAGCATGCCGGCATACAGTCCCAAATTCTATCACTTTACTCCCACAGTTTTCCGAGTTAAGGAGACTGTAAACGGATTTCCCCCTCCCCCCCTGTAATCAGATAACATGGAAGCGTGATATATTACATTAGTTTTACAGCAGAAGCTTTCACATCATGTGAAAACTCAAATATAATAATGGAACTTAACAGTTGGGGAAGCATCGGGGAAATGGAATAAACGCCTGTGTGGATGCAGCCTAGATCTAACGGCATTATGTTTTAGGAGGACAGATTTCATGTGAATGTTGGAGCAAAAATTCTTGCAGCCTGACAATGAGATAGTTGTGGGATGGTGGTGTCTCTCTTGGTGTAGGTCTTCAGACAGAGGCTAGGCCAGGATTCCTCAACCTCAGCCCTCCAGATGTTTTAAGACTACAATTCCCAGCATCCCTGACCACTGGTCCTGCTAGCTAGGGATCATGGGAGTTGTAGGCCAAAAACATCCGGAGGGCTGAGGTTGAGGAAGCCTGGGCTAGGCAGCCGTCTGTTTAGGATACCGTACTCTGGATTTCCTGGACTTAATGGCTTATAGCCCCCCCCCCAACTCAGGTCATGCAGTCATTGGGGCAGTGCCAGTTGTCAGTGTGGAGGGGAGAGTGGAATTGACATAGAGTAGGTGAGAGATTTTTTTTGGCGGGGGGAGATCTGATGTGGCCCCTCTTTCCGTGCCCAGGCACAAAGCAGTGATAGCGTTACATCTCCACCACCCTCTGGTGAGTTCTGAAATATCGAGTTCCCTGTCTCTCGCTTAGTGCCTCCTCCTGGCTTCCCGGATGTGTTTCACCACTGAGTGAAGCTGCGACATCCATGCCTTGTTTGATGCATTCCTTTGCAAGCACTTATTTCCCCACCTGCTTAACGTCTCATCATAACTTATCCTCTCCCCGTGAAGACTCAGAAGAAGCAGGCGCTGAGCAGTTCTGCCTTCTTAGCATCGTCTGTCTTCACCACTCCCGCTCGAGGTTGGGGGTTGGGAGGGGGTGATCTGACTGGATCACCAAGGGTGGCTTTCTTTAGCGCCTCAGGTATCATCCTCCTTCTCCCAGCACCAGCTCCTTCTTGGGTGCAGCAATTGTACGACACGGGCATTGTTTAACTCTTGCCACAATTATGAAGGGAAAAACCTCTCCTTCCCCTCTTTGGCTCATCACCCCCCGCCCTCTTCGCTCTGGAGAGCTGTGTCGCTGTGATGCTACTACTTTAAAATATCACTGTTGCTGTTTCTTATTAAAACAGAGCTGGCATCTGTTGCCATGGAAACTGGCAAACTAATTATAAGGAGTTTTTGAGTCAGCGGAGGTAACAAGTCATCCCACCCGTATAAAAGATATATGAGAGAGAACAGGCATGGGTTGCAACAGTGATGAACCAGGGATCGGACTGAATTAATTCCAGGAGCTCGTTGTGTGACTGCAGCGTACTTGGAGGAAGACGCAATTAGCTCTTGCTCTGGAAGCAGGAGCTAGGGTAGCCTCGGTCAACCTGGTGCCTGCCAGATGTTGTCAGACTACAACTCCCATGTTCCTTTACTATTGGCAGTGCTAGCAGTGACTGCTCACTGGAAGGACAGATCCTGAAGCTGAAGCTCCAATACTTTGGCCACCTCATGAGAAGAGAAGACTCCCTGGAAAAGACCCTGATGTTGGGAAAGATGGAGGGCACAAGGAGAAGGGGACGACAGAGGACGAGGTGGTTGGACAGTGTTCTCGAAGCTACCAGCATGAGTTTGACCAAACTGTGGGAGGCAGTGGAAGACAGGAGTGCCTGGCGTGCTCTGGTCCATGGGGTCACGAAGGGTCGGACACGACTAAACGACTAAACAACAACAAGCAGTGACTGATGGGTGTTGTAGTCTAGCAACACCTGGCGAAAGCTGAGCTGGAGGATCATAGAATTGGGATATTGAAGGCCCTCTGCTGAATGTAACCCCAGGCTCCCAGCAGAAAGCCCACCACCACCTTCCAAGATAGTCTGTTTCGTTGTGGAACGGCTCTGACCGTTTGGAAGTTTCTCCTAATGTTTAGCCCAAATCCACTTCCCTGCATTTCCTGCGGACTCTAGTCCTCGAGAAACAGAGAACAAGTCTGGTCCATCTTCTGCATGACAGACCTAGCTCAGTGTAATGCTGAGCAGCAGGCAAGTTGCTGTAAGTGTGTATTTTGCTGTGTTTGGGGAACAGCAGATACAATCTGAAATACACCTGCACTTAAGGAACTGTGATAAACTTGGTATCGTCTGACTTGCACGTCATGCCAAGCCATTGTTTAGTGTGAGCACACAGGCACCAGGAGAAGAGATAGTGCTTGTTTAGCTTCTTCCCAGTTGTTCTGCTGCTGCTTGCCTAGGACATACCTTTTGTTTGGGTCACGTGTGACATTCCAGACAACGCTGGACTCCAACTCCCATCATCCTTTGCAAATCGCCGTACCAGCAGTGGCTGATGGGAACGGGAATCTAGCAGCATCTGGAGGGCCACAATAAAGTACGGTAATAAAGCAAATCAAGTACAATAACAGAACTCACAGAAAGCCACAAAAAGCTCAAGCAAACAAACAATAAACCACATGTGATTTTTAAAAACATTCTTCAGAAATGGGTTTGGGTTTTTTTGAAACTCAGAAGCAGAAATGCTCTGCCATGGGTCCCTGCCAGCCTAATACTGATGAAAGAGGGAAGTGATGGTTAAAGAAAATGACCGTCCATACAAGGAAACCGTGGTAGAGATAGGCAGGTTTCTTAAGAAGGAACCTGTGGCCTTTCAGAGATCAGCATGATCAATTGTCACAAAGGGATGGGAGAGAGATTTGATTCAGTTCCCACTTAAAGGCAAATCTATCAAATCCAGAATTTCCAAAAAAAGAGCTACCCTTTAACATTTGCATTTACCCAAATTTTGCAATGCGGTTCTCCAGACAAGTAGTGTTTCCAAAATTGCATCTCTTAAGGGAAAGTGTACATAAAAATACATGTATTTGTGAAAATAATACAATACAGAGATGCATTATATCAGAGAAGATTGCTATAAAAGACGTGCACGTTAGTCAAAACTGTGTATAAAATGGGTTCATTAGGATAAATTCACACTAAAATGCTGATGAATTTTCATGATTTGAAAACAAATTGCAAATTGCTGGGAAAGGCGGGCAGCTGAATTTAAGATTGGAAAATTGAGAAACTCAGAGAATTGAAATTGACAGATTTGTCAGGCATGATGGGAGTTGTAGTACAACAACAGTGGGAGGGCTGCAGGTTCTCCACCCCTGTCCTAAAGCAAACCCTCACGTGACTGAAACATGCTGGCTGTGTAAAACCATGAGCTGTCTCATGTCTAACACTGGATTCTAGTTGAAGTCATGTGTGTGGGGGATGGCCAAATTGTACTTCAGGAACAGGCTCAAACTGTTGATCTGACTTTCCTGTTACGTGGCAGCAAATCTGTGTGGCTGGCGAAGAGGCCGGAATGAGAATTAAGTATACACGATGTACCCCACCCAAACAGTCTCTGAGTTATTCCTTTGTGCCTGCCACTTTTTCTTCTGATTCATCTTGGCTGCAACAACACACAAATCTGGAGTAATCTTGATTCTCTCCTTGACCTGTGCTCATATTTCTCCTCTTGAGAGTTTTATGACATTAATTGGCCATTGCATCAGTTTCAATTTGCATGAATCAACCAGGTACTGAGTCACAGATTTGCTGCATGGCACTAATTTTGTTCCAGCTATTCAGCATGTGTGTTACAAGGCAAGTATATGCTGTAGTATGGACATGGTCCTTGTCCAGTCTTCCCCAACTTGGTACCCTCCAGATGTTGTTGGATTGCAGCTTCCATTGCCTCTGTTCTGGAATTTCAACTAGAGGAGGAAGGCTGTTACAGGAGGAACCCTGTAACAGCTATTTTTCACATGCGTTTCCCATCTTCTCTGATAGAACTCTGGTTCACCTACATGGGGGTCCCAGGAGAGCCCCATCCAAGGACTAAGCAGACCCAGACCTGCTTCCTTTCACAAGGTTTCTGCATCATGTTCCTTCAGTTCACAGGAGGGAAGCATGTGGCCCTCTAGATGTTTTTGGACCACAACTCCCATAATCCCTGACCATTGGTCATGCTGGTTGGGGCTGGTGGAACTTAATAACATAAGAAGAGCCATGCTGGATTAGGCCATTGGCTCATCTAGTCCAGTTTCCTATTCTCACAGTGGGAAACCAGATGCCTTCAGGAAGCCCACAAGCATAACTTGAGTGCAACAGCCTTTTCTCCCCAGTTGTGACTTCCAGCAACTGGTCTTCAGAGACACATTGCCTCCAACAGTAGAGGCAGAACTTTGAGCCCAACAACATCCAGCCACCACAAATTCAAATCTTTCCGGAGTCTGTCCTTGCTTCTAAACTACATGAAATGTGGTTTTGTTTTAATCAACAAAGAAACAAGTACAGTGGTACCTCTGGTTACGAACTTAATTTGTTCCGGAGGTGCGTTCTTGACCTGAAACCATTCTTAACCTAAGGTACTACTTTAGCTAATGGGGCCTCCCGCTGCCGGTGCACTGTCGGCATACAATTTCTGTTCTCACCCTGAGGTAAAATTCTTAACCCGAGGTAGTACTTCCGGGTTAGCAGAGTTTGTAACCAGAGGTGTTTGTAACCCGAGGTACCACTGTACAGTGGTACCTCGGTTTACAAACTTAATCCATTCCTGAAGTCCGTTCTTAAACCAAATCCGTTTTTAAACTGAGGCATGCTTTCCCTAATGAGGCTTCCCACTGCCAGTGCCCTTCCACTGTTCGGTTTTCGTTTGTAGGCCAAGGTAAAGTTCGCAAACTACTTCTGGTTTTGTGGAGTTCATAAACTGAATCGTTCGTAAACAGGACTGTTCTTAAACTGAGGTACCACTGTAGATATGTTGGGGCAAGCCATGGTCGTTGCCTTTAGGTCTTCCCTGGGTTAAGATCTTATTTTAACCTGAAAAGCAGTACATTAGCCTTCCCTTGCCCTACTCCATTATAAATCACGAATTCATTCACTGTCGTCTGTGATTGTGGCACACGGACAGGTGAATAAACAAATGTGACTGCCTCCATCATCCTTCAGTTTGCAGCCTAAGACGAGGGAGTCACTTAATAAATCCCCATGAAATATTAACGTAAGGTAATGCACGAGCAGCTTATGCCTAAAGCTTGAGAAGGAGCGGCAAGAGGCAAGACTGTTAGATTGGAATTCAATTATGTATGAACAGTCCTTTTCAGCGAGAGATTTTGTCCCCTCCACAATAGGCTGGAATGGCTGTGAAACCGACACTCATCTTCCATCTGGCTCCCTGAAATACTGTTTAGTGGGAGCCACCTCTTTCGCTGAATTCATATTGTTCTGTTCCATTTGGAATGGTCTGGAGGCATTTTATCCTTGTATTGATTTTATCTGTTTTTATAATTGTGTTTTCCATTACGGTAACCTGCCCTGGGAGCATGTGGAGAAGGGTGAGTAAGGAATTGTATAAATATAATTAATAAATAGTAAATAGTGTGTACTTTGTGCACATGGGAAGAACTGGAAGCCCTGTTAGTTGGTACTCTTGCATTTGCCACCTGTGAACATATGCATTGGAACATATCGGGTGGCTTCTTTTCTGTTGAATTTCATATAGATGTTAGACATGGACTCCTGATGTTGAGCTGGAGCCACTAGCAATGAGCAGGTACAGTGGTACCTCGGGTTACATACGCTTCAGGTTACATACGCTTCAGGTTACAGACTCCGCTAACCCAGAAATAGTACCTCTAGTTAAGAACTTTGCTTAAGGATAAGAATAGAAATCGTGCTCCAGCGGCGTGGCGGGAGGGGGAGGCCCCATTAGCTAAAGTGGTGCTTCAGGTTAAGAACAGACCTCCAGAACAAATTAAGTACTTAACCTGAGGTACCACTGTATAGCCAATACAGTGCACTCTGGGCATTGCTGAACTACAACTCCCATCATCCATGACCATTGGCCATGGTGGCTGGGACTAATGGGCGTTGTAGTCCAACAATTCCCCGAGGGTACCACGTTGGATACGCTAATGCTACTACAGCTTCCCCACAACTACTTGCATGTACGTCAACGTCCTTTTGTCATTTCTGTACAAATAGCCATGCCAGCAACCCATCTCTTCTCTGAACACCACTTCTCCTCTGTTATCACACATGTACCTCTGGCAGCCATTAGCAAAACATCAGCCATGATGGCGCGAACACCATTTATGAAACCGCAAATTACCTCTCACCCACACTGGAAATTAAAACGCTGCTGACATTTTTGGACCAACACAAAGCCTGTTTTCATTTATCAAATAACCATATGACTGGTGTTACTTTATAAAAGTTTATACATTTGGAACTCATAAATATTATGGTGTGTGTGTCCGTAACACGCCCATTATGCAAAGAGTAGTGCTGGTTTTTCTTGTGTGTTGTAAAAAAAAGTTTGGTTGCTTTTTTACATGTTTTCCTTGGGCTGAGTCAGCCACATGTTAAAATAAATTTTGCCAATAGTAACATTTCTCTCTGGAGGCTTACTACATCTTAATAAAGCAGTGTGTGGGTGGCAAACACAAGCAGGTAAGTGACCACACGGGTGTTGGTGCTAAGGATACTTTCACTTATGTTTATCCAAACTGATAGCCGTGGCACAGGGCGTGTTCATGGTTTGGCCGGCTTGGGTTTCTCATGTGGTTTGCTCCAGCTGCAGAGTGAGATCCTGGAGCTGCGTTTGCGGGTTCCTCCTCCATGCAACCATAGCGTTCAGTGCCCACCCAGTGAACCTTTTCTGTCTGAGAGGCTGCAGCAGGTGATGGAGCAGACTTGTTCAAGCAGATTCCAGCTGAGCATTAGGAGAAACTTCCTAATAGCAAGAACTGCATGACAGTAGAACAGACTACCATGGGAATGTTCATAGTCAGGTGGTAGAACGTCCGCTTTTACATGCAATGCGCTCTACGTAGGGCTACCTTTGAAGGTGACCTGGAAACTGCAATTAATCCAGAATGTGGCAGCTAGACTGGTGACTGGGAGTGGCTGCCGGGACCACATAACATTGGTCCTGAGAGATCTGCATTGGCTCCCAGTACGTTTCCGAGCACAATTCAGAGTGTTGGTGCTGACCTTTAAAACCCTAAACGGCCTCGGTCCTGTATACCTGAAGGAGCATCTCCACCCCCATCGTTCTGCCCGGACGCTGAGGTCCAGCGCCGAGGACCTTCTGGCGGTTCCCTCATTGCAAGAAATGAGGTTACAGGGAACCAGGCAGAGGGCCTAACCCTGTGGAACACTCTCCCTTCAGATGTGAAGGAAATAAGCAGCTAACTTCTCTTTAAAAGACATCTGAAGGCAGCACTGTTTAGGGAAGTTTTTAATATTTAATGCTGTATTGTTTTTAACACTCGATTGGGAGCCGCCCAGAGTGGCTGGGGAAACTCAGCCATATGGGCAGGGTATAAATAATAAATTATTATTATTATGAATTATTATTATTATTATTATTATGCAGAAGGTCCCATGTTCAACCCCTGTGAGAGACTCCCTGGCTGAGCTGAAGAGCTTCTAGCAGTCTGTGTAGATAATACTAAGCTAGATGGATCAATGAACTGACTCCGTATTAGGCAGTTTCCTGCATCTTGTGTGGCCCTGCTTTGCTGGAAGCATTGGAGCAAAGGCTGGGTGGCCATCTCGCAGAGACGCTGTAGTTCCTCCATTGAGCAGATCCTTCATTAACCTCCAAAGCCACTCCAAACTGTGAATGAATCTGTTTCTGCAGGAAAACTTGAGATGGTACTGCCGTTGGAATGCTATGAGGTCAGCAGCAGCTGCCCATTACTAGATGTTAAATGTATCTCTTCAGCTGGCAACGACCAAATCATCATGACCTCAGCAAAGAGCAATGCTATGGCCAAATATCCAACTAGCTACTCCAGTGTTTGGCTTTGATGTGGTATGAGTTATGAAAGTAAAAAGAGCCTTGCTAGATCAGACTGACGGCCCACTGGGTCTGGCATCGACCATAGGCAGCAGGTGACACTGGGAAGTTCAGAAGCAAAGCATGGAGGCAACAGAGATACACTGTCTCTGAACATGGATGGTCAATTACCCTATTGCCCCTAACAGCTGTTCATAGATTTATCATGGCTAATAATCCCTGAGCAGGTTGGCTATGTAGTTGTGTTCCTCATGAGGAACCTGGATTGTGGCTGTGCAGGGATTGTCCATGCAGATTTTCAGCTGATCCAGCCATATGTCTCCCCAACCAACACCTGATATCACAAAGGATGATTTTGGGTGCATTTGGTTCGGGGATATTGACCTCATAGCCCAAATTAAGAGCCATGCTGGACCACATTTGGCTCGTGTGACAGAAGTTCCCCGGCTCTGCCCAGAGTGACTGGGGCAACCCAGACCAACGCGTGGGTTACAAATAATAACATTATTAATATTGATATTATTATTATTACTACAATGTA